CCCACCACCTGCAGCCACAACCCAGCACCCAGCCACCGGGCACTACCGCCCATGTGCGCATACCCCGACGGCACGTGGTTGTGCCCACTACCAAGGCGGCCGGCCCACTAACCGAGGAGGCCACGAACTACCTCCACCTTTCACAGCAGGAAGCACGCATGGCCATACTGGAGGCTGACCCCTATCTCACCGATGATACCCGAGCAGCCTTCATACCACCGCCAGAGCCCATGCTAGGATTAGATGATGTGGATGCCGAGCCCTACCCACCTGTCCAGACAGAACGCTACCCAGCCCGCATGTTCCTACCCGACCAGTATACAGGCCTGGCGGCGCAGGCACTACCTGTGGCAGTCAAGAGGGCCGAGTATTACGTCCTCAACTTGTTTTGTGGACGTCGGAGGCCAGAGGACATTCAGGCATGTTTAGAGTGGACGCACTACGACGTTGATTTCACAGTCTCGGTCCTGTCCATAGACATTGCTATTGACCCTGTCCTTGGGAACATGATGCGACCCCAGACCTTGGAGGTTTGGAAGGAACACATCCGAGCGCGCAGGGTGGTCCTCTCTGGAGGTGGGCCTCCCTGCGAAACCTGGTCAGCCATCCGGTGGGCTCGAAACACGGGGCCCCCACCGCTGCGGTCCCATGACGATTTCTGGGGTATGCTTGCCATTGCACCGCGTCAGATGGAGCAGGTACGTGTTGGCAACGAGCTACTAGGAGCCATGATAGAACTTTTTGCTGTTCACCTAGCCGTAGGCACATGTTGTTGGATGGAGCATCCAGTACCAGCGTCGTGGCGACAAGAGGCCGTGAGTTCATTCTTGTGCCCACCCTTGCGCGCGATCACGGCATCACCTGCGGCCTCTACAACCGACTTCGATCAGTGCGAACACGGACAATGTGCTCGCGCGCCTATACGGATATTGGCTTTGAGGATGTGTACGCTGCATGGTCGCCTCTTGGAAACGCCTGGCCGCGGACGTTGCTCACACGGACAGAACGCCCACGAAGTGCCCATGGGCTTCGACGGTCAAAAGAAGGAATGGCGGACGGCCAAAAAGAAGACATACCCCCCCGCGCTTTGTCATGTATTGGCCGACGGTATAGTGGATGCGGTCAATCATATGCGTGCGACGAGCGACCCGCAGGCATGGCCAGGGGACATGGGGGAGGAGGGAGAGGCACTCCGTGGGGCACTAGAGGCCTTTTACGTTGCTTGGGACCCATATCCAGGCACGAACGAGGACTGGGCCCCCGATTTCGTAGGAGCTACGACGCGACGTCTGCGCGCCGATCCTGAAAGCTCCAGGTTCTCGCCACCCGAGCTCACAAGGGAAAGGTCAGATGCCGACGTGCCCGCGCCGTCGCTCGTGCATGACCCCAGTGCCACTCCTCGGCAGGCAGGGCCTGCTGAGGCAGACGAAGAGCAGGAATACGCAGACGCCACTGCCTTTCTTGATGGCGCAGCGGCTCCGTCACATGTTGCACCTACTTCCGCCCCCCCTCCTTTGCCTACTCCAGTCCAGCTCACGGATGCACAGCGCGAAATGATTCAACGCAAACGCGCTGAGGCCAGAGACAGACGTAAGGCGCGACTTGCTGCACGCATAGCTCCATGGACGTTGCAGCCAAATTTCGGCAGCGGCATCCTGGGCTAAGTAGAAGGATGGGTGGAGGTTAGACAGTGGGACAGGTGGGGTCTCGAGAGAGGGAGCTTCCTCCACCCCCCCCCCTGTTTTGCTCTCACTGCTAGCCGCTATCTCTCTTGCCGCACTGCGTTTCTGCGACAGTGAAGTTGTCTATGTGGCGTTGACCCCTACCACCAGATTTGCCAAGCATGTCAGAGGCGGCTGTTTTCAAGCATGCCGCCATGGCTAGTGCCATGGATGTTGCAGGTACAGCGGTTTCAGGTCCAGGCCCCTAGAATACTGGCTTGCGGGGACCACACTGGGAGTTTCGACGGGGCGCTGAAGTTTTCTGGCCGCACGCGCACTTCTATGGACGACGCAGCCGATTCTCGGCAGCAACATCTTACGACAGTAGAAGGTTGGGGGGGGAGCTGCAGGTCAAGTTTGGAGGAGGTCGTGGAGGGATACGAGCGAGGAAGCGACCTGCTCCTTTTGTTCGCTCTCTCGCTCTCTCGCCGCCAGCCGCCCCGCCCCTCGCCGCCCTGCGCATCATTGTACCCTCCCTGCCTGCATCTCGTGCTGATTGATCAGTCAGACACATACGAGGTGCCTGGGTGTGGGTCAGGTCCAGGTGGCCCTGGTAAGCAAGCAACCAGGGCCTGTGGGGCATGGACCCCCGCACACTTGTGTGCGGGGCGGCTGCAGTCCTCCCCCTGTGACCGAGTGCGCCCCCCCCCGCTGGCGCGGCCTCTCCAAGGCTGGCCGGTGGGGGGCAGCTCCGTTGCGGCCCCCCCCCCGCCCGCGAGGTACAGTGGACGGCTCGCCAGCCTGCTAGCGAGCATGCCCTCTCTTGTTGCTTGCTGCCAGCCTCTCTCTCTCTCTCACTCTTTGCAGGGACGGATGCTTGGCGGGACAGTCGGGTGGTTGGGCAGATCGGACAGTCAGCGGGCGAACTCTTTTGCGCACAAGATCATGCCATTTTGGCAGCTTCTCGCTTTGTGATTTCTTGGACAGGGAACAAGGGACACAAAGCCTGCAGGACCGCCGTCTCCCTTTGCGCAGCCTGCCTTGCCGACCCAGTCCCCAGTCCTAGCGCAGACCACGATTTTCAGTCGATGCTATGCCAGCCTGTTCGCCTCTCGCCCTGCCGTACGGGTCGAGCCCCACGGCTGTCAGCTGACGCGGCTCACCTGCGTGTCTTAGACCGCGGTGCGTCTCGTTCATATGGGGCGGATTGGTGGGCGGGATTACTTGGGATTGGGTACGGAGCTCTGGTACTGTGTTACTGTCTACTGCAATCCTTAGGTGCCCGTGCGATCCTGCATTGCCAGATGCATCGCTAGCCGCAGCGCCACCGTAACTCGACAGGCTGGTTGCCTCAACGAGCAGGCAATCCAAAATCCCTCCCTCCCTCCCTCCCTCCCTCCTTCCCTCCCTCCCTCCTCCTCTTCCTCCTCCTCCTCCTCCTCCTCCTCCTCTTCCTCCTCCTCCTCCTCCTCATCCTCCCTCCCTCCCCCCCCTCCTCCTATCCTCCCTCCTCCCTCCCTCCCTCCTCCTCCTCCTCCTCCTCCTCCTCCTCCTCCTCCTCCTCCTCCTCCTCCTCCTCCTCCTCCTCCTCCCCCTCCTCCCTTCCCCCCTCCCTCCTTCCCTCCCTCACTCCCTACCTCCTCCTCCTCCCTCCTCCTCCTCCTCCTCCTCCTCCTCCTCCTCTCCTCTTCCCTCCTCCTCCTCTCCCCGTCCTCCTCCTCCTCCTCCTCTCCTCCTCCTCCTCCCTGCCTCCCTCCCTCCCTCCCTCCCCTCCCTCCATCCCTCCCTCCTCTCCTCCTCCCTCCTCCCTCCCTCCATCCCTCCCCCTCCTCCTCCTCCCTCCCCCCCCTCCTCCCTCCATCCCTCCCTCCTCCCCTCCCTCCCTCCCTCCCTCCCTCCCTCCTCCTCCTCCTCCTCATCCTCCTCTCTTCCTCCTCCTCCTCCTCCTCCTCCTCCTCCTCCTCCTCCTCCTCCTCCCCCCTCCCTCCCTCCCACCCTCCCTCCCTCCCTCCCTCCCTTCCTCCCTCCCTCCCTCCCTCCCTCCCTCCCTCCTCCTCTTCCTCCTCCTCCTCTTTCTCCTCCTCCTCCTCATCCTCCTCCTCCTCGGCCGAGCCCGAGCCCGAGCTTCGCCCGGCCGAGTCTCCACCCCTGTCCTGGTGGAGGCTTCCCAAGCAAGGGCGCTCGAGAAGGACGCGTGAGGAGGATGCGCGAGAAGGCTGCGCGACAAGGACGCCAGGGCCTTGGCGGGCCGAGCCCGCGTTCTGCGAGGAAGGGCGCGGCCGGCACCAGCGGCGGAGGATGGGCCGAGGAGGCGAGGATGCAAGGGGCACCCTTGGGAAGGTTGCCCATCCTTACCATGCGGGTCGACTGCAGGGTCCGAGTATATGGGGCTGGTGGATCGCGACGCATCGCCGATGCACCGGCGCCGTCGGGGTGGAGAGAATCGGGATCGACATCGAGCCGCATCGACGACGCATCGCCGATGCACCGATGCGGCGCGCTTCTCCGACCCTTCTGCTCCAGCCCCGTGTGGGAGGCCTGGGGCTGGCGCACCATGGCCCCACGCACGTGCGCGCACGAGGGGGCCGGATCGGATCGAGGGGCTCATTTTCCACCACTACTACCATAGGTTGGGCGAGGAGAAGGGAGGATGGGGAGGTCCTCCTCCACCGCCTCCTCCTCCTCCTCCACCGATCCTCGCGAGACCCACCCAAGGCCCAGGGTCCGTGCATACACCCCTTCGTGGCTTGGCACAGGAGGCGTGCGCATCAGCCCCAGGCCCGGCATGTAGAGGAAGAAACAAGAGCATAATAAACTGTTGGAGGTCCGCGCGGATTTCTTGGATCTGCGCTGGACCCCCCTCCCTGGCGCGCGAAGCGCACCAGGGGCGGCGCCGGAGGCGCCGCCGGGGGGCCCCAGCGCGGATGCGAGACATCCGCGCGGAGCGCCAAAAGTTTATGTTTATGCCGCTTTTTCTCCTTCGAGTATGGGCACCTCTTCCTCCTCCGAGCCTTGGCGCCGCTGGGGCGGCGGCGGCCGCCGAGCCCAGCGCACCAGCTGCCGCCGCCGGGGCGGCGGGCGCCGCCGGGGCGGCGGTGCCCGTCGGGGCGGCGGTGCCCGTCGGGGCGGCAGGCTCGGGCGCGCTGGGCGCCCTCCTGTCTGGGCAGCCACAACAGCGACGAAAGAATCATCCTCGTCCTCCTCCTCCTCCTCCTCCTCCTCCTCCTCCTCCTCCTCCTCCTCCTGCTCCTCCTGCTCCTCCTCTTCCACCTCATCCCCCTCCTCCTCCTCCTCCTCCTGGCGGGACCGAGGCAGACGATCAACCGCGGAGAGACCCAGGCGCTCCTGGCTGCGCTGGTGGACCTGCAGTGCCTGGGCGCGGGGATCACCTACGTCACTGACTCCTCCTACGTGGTGAGGGGGGTCGGGAAAATCGTCCAGGGCGTCCTCCCGAGGACGAACATTGATTTGTGGCAGAAGATCAAGAAGGCGCTGCAGGGTGCGCCTCACTTGCTCTCGACTGCCGTGGTGAAGATCGAGAGCCACTTGGACCATGAGGTGGCGGAGGCGCGCGGCGTGCCACCGAATTGGTACGCTGCCAACCAGATCGCGGCTGAGCTGGCGGGCGACTGGGCGTCGCGGGTCCAGATGCCTTCCAGCACGGAGCGATTGGAGATGGCCGAAGCGATTGGGTCCACGGTGCGCACGCATCTCACGATGGCGTTCCTGAAGGCCTCGGAGGCGGATCCGCGCCGCATCAAGCCTACGAGGGCCGGGCACCGCGGCTTCAAGGTGAAGTTGGCGCTGTCGGAGCACGAGCTGAGCGGACGTGTGGGCTCGAGCTTCCACTGCAAGGGGTGCGGCTGCAGCGCGAGCGGCCCGCGGATGGAGGCTTTTCTTGCCACGCCATGCCACAAAGGCGTCCTGCAAGGAGTCCAGATGGTGGGCCAGGGCAAGATCACCGTGAAGGGGGTGGAAATCCACTCGTCCCATTTGCTAGGGTATTGGCCCGACCTGAAGACCCATGCTTGCCTGAAGTGTGGACACGTTGGGCGCGTGTTTCTTCGTGGGCTGGCCCAGCCATGCGGCGAGCACTTGGGCCACTATGGGGTGCAGACGCTGCGCAAGCTGGCGTGCGGAGTGCTGCCTAAGGCGAGGCTCTGTCCGTACGGCCAGTCCGGATCGTCTTGCCGCCGTTCCTGACGTGGGCATGCTTCGGCGTCTTCGCGCGGCCCGCACGTGCAGCAGCTCGCGGCCTCCGCGTGAGTCGCCATCCTGAGGCCGAGGCTTGCTGCGGGGAAGTGGCCGTCCCTTTCATTTTTCTTGCGCCTGACTTGTGCCGCCTCCCTGGCCTCGGCTTCGGGCGGTGGGGTAGAGAATGGCCCTGCAGCGTACAATCCTCCTCCTCCTCCTCCTCCTCCTCCTCCTCCTCCTCCTCCTCCTCCTCCTCCTCCTCCTCCTCCTCCTCCTCCTCCTCCTCCTCTTCCGACGGGTCTTATGCTTAGGCATGGAAGGACCCCGAACCCTTCGGGAGGCGGCCTAAGTAGGAGGGCCGGGAACAGGAAGGATAGGGGGTCTTGTCAGCAGGTGTGGCAAGCCAAACCGCTCAGATCTACGACCCCTGATGCAAAGGCGGGGACCTCAGTGAGGCCACGTCTTCACTAAGCTATCAACCACGAGAAGGAGGAGCTACAGTAGGAGCTCGACCACGAGAAACCTTCCACAAGAAGCCCAACCCTGAGACCACAGGACGTCCATTGATTTTTGGTGTGGAAACGTCACGCTTTCCACAGCAGAACCATCGAAACCCAAGAAACCCAGGGCACCCTGAAGGCAAGCAGGGTGTTTCTTGGCATGGGTTTCCAGCGTTTCCCGTCCCCGGTGGTTTTCCCGCCATCATTCGGGCCTCCAGCGGCCGTTCGGGATGATCTGGGCACCCCTGGAACGCTCTCGGCAAGGCGCAGCTGCTGGAGAGCACCACGAGGCTGGAAAACCGGCGGGTTCGGACGAAAACGCACAAAAGCCTCCACCTCGTACATCGAGAAACCACTGTACCCCCTCCCCAGGAAAAGGACGAGGAGGGAGTAGGAGGAGGAGGAGGAGGAGGAGGAGGAGGAGGAGGAGGAGGAGGAGGAGGAGGAGGATGGGAGGGGGAGGACGAGGAGGAGGAGGAGGAGGAGGAGGAGGAGGAGGAGGAGGAGGAGGAAGAGGAGGGGAGGGACGAGAAGGAGGAGGGAGGAGGAGAAGGAGGAGGAAGAGGAGGAGGAGGAAGAGGAGGAGAAGAGGAGGAGGAGGAGGCGGAGGGAGAACGAGGAGGCGGAGGGAGGAGGAGGAGGAGGAGGAGGAGGAGGAGGCGGAGGGAGAACGAGGAGGAGGCGGAGGGAGAAGGACGAGGAGGAGGAGGAGGAGGACGAGGAGGAGGAGGGAGGAGAAAGAAGAGAGGGAGGAGGGGAGGAGGAGGAGGAGGAGGAGAGGAGGAGGATTTTTCTGAGGCGCCCGAGGGGGCTCGGAGCGCAGTCCTCGCGAAGCCGTGGGGGGGGGGGGGGGGCGGGAGGAGGAGGGAGCGCGCGGGGGGCTTCTCTCTGTGGCCAGGGCGCCGCGCCTCGGCCACGACAAGCGGCGGCCCAAGCTGGAATGTCTGACGTGAAGGGGCCCAAGGAGACACAAGCAAACACACACTAATCCCAGGATGCCCCATCTGTGTGCCTATTTTCTAGGTTTTCGTCATCCCCCCCACCCCACTTCCCATAGCTTCCCATACTTTCCTGGGGATCGACGATGAATTGTGTCTGGATCTGAGGTTGGAGGCCTGGAAATTGACACCAACACCAACTCCAGGGGAAGATGATCCCAGATCTCGGTGCTGGTGGTAATCTTTCGGCCGCCTGGGAAGCCAGATTATCAGCACCATCACTGAGATTGGGATACTCTGCCCTCGGTGGAGGCACAACGCCGATATTGGTGTTGTTGGTGTCAACCGCTAGGCCTCCGATGATGGACGGCCAGAAAAGCAGAGCCCAGGCTGAGCCGGTGAAGCTGGAAATGCGATCCAGAACATTGTAGGAAGACGAGATTTATGCACGCACACTGCTCCCTGGCCACGCCCATCCTGAACCCGGCAGCGGTGTATACGCCACGCCCTCGTGGCTTGGCCAGGAGGGCGTATACACAGCTGCTGGGTTCAGGACGGGCCTGGCCAGGGAACAGTGGATATGTATAGATCTCGTCGCCCTAAACTAAACATTGTGACAGAAAACCTGGGCCAGAACTTCGGACATGTCTGAAGAGAAGCCTGGGCCAAGTGTTCGCGTTCACGCTCGAATGGCGAACGCGCTCAAGATGCCAGGCAAGCGCTGGCCCAGCTTTTCGCGGAGGGGTTTCTTCTCAGACGCTCGACTGTACTTCAGCGTCTCGACGGTATGAAGGACGTCTGAAGCCAGATGAACCCCGGCACCGCAACGTGGCAAGTTGCACGTTGGCCCGCGCGGCCCTTGTAATAAGGTGATCCTCCTCCTCCTTCTCCTCCTCCTCCTCCTCCTTCTATTCCTCCTCCTCCTCCTCCTCCTCCTCCTCCTCCTCCTCCTCCTCCTCCTGTCCTCCGCCTTGCGCGCTCAACAGGAACGGGGCGCGACTATGCGCATTAAGCTCACACGTGTACTTTCACCCAACGTCGACTGAAACCGCGGGGTTGGGTTCGCAGGTAGACTCGACCGTCGTGGCAGACGCAAGAGGAAGGATCGCCAATGAAGGGGCCCAAGGAAACACAAACAAATAGACACAAATGACAGGATCCCCTATATTTTTCCACATGTTCTGGGTTTTTGTCTTCCCCCCCACTTCCCATATTGCCCCATATTTTCTTGGGAATCGGCGATTAAGCGTGTCTGTGTGTTTTTTCCCCCCTGAGCAAAGGACGGGCCAGCGAGTCGGCGGACGAACCCTGAGACTCTGGCGTTGCAGTGCTGCTTCGCACGGGGCGGCCTCGCCCCGCTCCGGGCCCCAGGGCACTCGAGCGCCGATCCGGCTCGAGGAAGAAGCACCGCCAGCGGCTCCAGCCGACGCTTCCACGGCATCGGACGCCAAGAGAACGGGGGGGGGTAGCAAAGCCAAGGTCAGCGAGGCAGCTGCACACGGCTGGTCTCTCGGGCGCACCCCCCCGGCGCCAGAGGCGCCAATCCATCGGGGGGAGCACCAATGACGGACACGCGCTGCGACATCCACGGATCGGGAAGAATACCCCCCGAAACATGAGGCCAGCGTCGCCCGACGTGACGACGGAGCGCGCCGATTTCGCACTGGGAGCGGGACCAGCCGCTGATCCACCCGCCTGAATCCATGGTTGCGTTCTCTCGACAATGGCCGACGTCGTGTTTTGCTCATGACTTCGACTCACAGGAGTCTGGGCCCATCCCCCTGGACTGTTGTTTCAAATGGTCTGTCTGTTCCCTGGACATGTCACGTGTTCCTGCTCATTCCCCACGCACGCTGAACAGGCCTACCGGAAGCACAACGCAGATGTGCGCTACACCATTGCCCTGCCTAAAAGAAAACTTTGATCACTTGCGTGCAAGATGTCCGACAAAGCGGACACAACTTCGGTTGCTTGCACAAGGAGCTCGCGCAAGATTCGCACACGCAGATGTGGCCACAAGGCACACATATGTGAGTCTTCTTCGCGTCCAAGCAGACCGTGCAAAGTTGCGCCTCAGCATCGAGAGTGTGTTCAACATTCACTCCCTCAGTTCGGACCTTCTTGCCTGGTGGCTCAACGACGCCAGTACTGGCACGCTTTAGTTCTCCAGCTCTTTGAAGAGGGCAAGTGTTCGTGATCATTCGCGGGAGCTCATTGCTGCAGCCCTGCTCGCCAGTACTGGAGACCTTCTCCCATTTCACGGATACACGCTCTTTGTCATTAGAAGTCGATGGTCCTGCAACCATGCCTTTGGTATACTTTTGAACGAGGACTGGATCCTTCCCCAGATCATCCTTCGCCCATACATCCTGACCGATCGTCAAACCACCAGGCAGGGGAGGGCACGTCTTCACGATCATTACGGGAAGCACATTGTTGCAGCCTGCTCCGCCAGTCTGACATAGCTTCTCCCATTTCACGGACACACGCTCTTTGTCATTAGAAGTCGATGGTCCTGCAACCGTGCCTCTTGTATACTTTTGAACGAGGACTGGATCCTTCCCCAGATCATCCTTCGCCCAAACCATGTGACCGATCTTCAAACCACCAGGCAGGGGAGGGCACGTCTTCACGATCATTACGGGAAGTACATTATTGCAGCCCTCCCCGCCAGTCTGGCATAGTTTCTCCCATTTCACGGACACACGCTCTTTGTCATCAGAGGTCGATGGACCCACAACCGTGCCTCTTGTATACTTTTGAACGAGGACGGGATCCATCCCCAGATCACCCTTGGCCCATACCTTGTCACCCACCTGGAGGCCAGCGAGTAGCAGCATGCCTAGAATCGTTTGACCCAGCGCAACATGAAAGGACTCCCCCCCATGAGACCTGGGAAGACCCAGGCTTCAGGACCTGAGCCAGAAGGGCTCGACCAAACTGGCTACGGACGGGCCTGTGTTCCATCTTGAATCATTTTCTTGACGACCCCGGATGCCTGGCAAGGCCCCCTGCAACCCAGAGATAGCAATCTTATCCTGGCGAAATAACCTAACATATGCGACGGTGAATACTGAGATGTGGATACCCCTTTCGGTGGAGCTTCCTTTGGGGCCACGAAGCGTGTGAGGGGTGTGCCGACATGGGCGCACTGGCGCCATGCGAACGCAGCCACTGGAGCCTTCGGTGGAGCTCCTGATGGGGCCACGAGACGTGTGAGGGGTGTGCCGACATGGTACGGGCGGACGCATGCGATCGCTGCCACTGGGATTTTCGAAGGAGCGCCCTATGGCCCTATGGGGCCATGACACGTGTGAGGGGTGTACCAGAGTGGGGTGGGGGGACGCATGCGAACCCTGCCACGGGGGCCTTCGGCGGAGCTACTTATAGGGGCCACAAAACGTGTGAGGGGGGGGGGCGAACTGGGACGGGCGGACGCATGCGAAATCTGCAACTGGGGCCTTCGGAGGAGCTCCAGGTGGGGCCACGAAACGTGCGAGGGACGCCACTGGAGCCCTCGGAGGAGTTCACGATGGGGCCGAGAAGCGTGTGAGGGGTGTGCCGACATGGGCGCACTGGCGCCATGCGAACGCAGCCACTGGAGCCTTCGGTGGAGCTCCTTATGGGGCCACGAGACGTGTGAGGGGTGTGCCGACATGGTGCGGGCGGGCGCATGCGATCGCTGCCACTGGGATGTTAGAAGGAGCGCCCTATGGCCCTATGGGGCCATGACACGTGTGAGGGGTGTACCAGAGTGGGGTGGGGGGACGCATGCGAACCCTGCCACGGGGGCCTTCGGCGGAGCTACTTATAGGGGCCACAAAACGTGTGAGGGGGGGGGGCGAACTGGGACAGGAAGACGCATGCGAACCCTGCAACGGGGGCCTTCGGAGGAGCTCCAGGTGGGGCCACGAAACGTGCGAGTGACGGCACTGGAGCCCTCGGAGGAGTTCACGATGGGGCCAAGAAGCGTGTGAGGGGTGTGCCGACATGTACAGGCGGACGCATACGAACGCTGCAACTGGGGTCTCCGGTGGAGTTCCCTAAGGGGCCACGAAAAGTGTGAGGGGTGTGACAACATGGTGCGGGCGGACGCATGCTAACCTGCCACTGAGGCCTTTGGAGAAGCTCTTTATTGGGCCACGAAGCGCGCGAGGGATGTGCCGAACTGGGGCGGGCGGACGCATGCGAAATCTGCAGTTGGGGCCTCCGGAGGAGCTCCTCGTGGGGACACGAAACGTGCGAGGGACGCCACTGGGGCTTTCGAAAGAGTTCAGTATGGGGCCACGAGACGTGTGAGGGGTGTGCCGACATGGTGCGGGCGGACGCATGCGACCCCTGCCACTGGGGTCTTCGGAAGTGCCCCCTATGGGGCCACGAAGCGTGTGAGGGGAGTGCCGCCATGGTGCGGGCGGACGCATGCGAACCCTGCCGCTGGGGCGTTCGGGGGAGCCGATGGGGCCACAAAGCGTGTGAGGGGCGTGCCGAACAGGAACGGGCGGACGCACGCAAACCCTGCCACTGGGGCCTTCGGAGGTGCTACTTAGAAGGCCAAGAAACGTGTGAGAGGTGTGCCGACATGGGTGGCGGGGACGCATGCAAACTGCACCACCAGGATCTTCGAGAGGGCTCCGTGTATTTCCGCCGCCTTCCGCCGACCTTCCGCCGAGGAAAAGACGGTTGAGGGGGCCCAGGGGCACACAAATAAATGTACATAAACCCAAGGATTACCCTGATTTCCAAATGTTTTCTGGGTTTTCGTCTTCCCCCCCGCTTCCCATATTCTCCCAGATTTTCAAGGAGATCGACGATTGATTGTGTCTATGCTTTTTTCCCCTCCTGAGAAAGATGGTACCTCCTTCGATCCGCGGCGAAGGCGAGGCCCTTCTCTGGAGCGCCTCGCGTGGCCCTCGACCATCGCCCAACGCCGCAGGACGGCTGGGAAAAAACTCCTGCCGTGGCGTTCTCGCGACGCGAGGGTGCCCGCTTCCTCGACTCGGCTACACGCACGAGTTCGGTGGCAACTCATGGGGGCATACCATCTTGCTAGCTCTTCCGCATCGACGCTAGTATGCTAGTCGATTCTAAATCGATGCTCATCGACCCTAAACAGACACTAACCGACGCTAGATCGGCGCTATCTCATCGACTCTCAGACGCTAGTCGACGCTTACCGACATTAAAGATGGAATTTAGAGGGTACGCCAGGCTCCCATGACTTGCTACCGAACAAGAGTGACCCTGGGTAAGAGTGGCCTTTGGTGCGCGGCTTTTTGGGGGCCGCGGGGGGACCAAACACGAGCGGGCAAGACGCCACTGCCGCGTCGCGTTCGGCGATCGGGGGACCGCACCAAAGGCCACTCCGGCGAAAGGTCACTCTTACGTATAGTCTTGCAGATACCATGACAATGGACACCCTCACGGTGTTCCAAAAATGCTCAGAACATGTTGCTTCACACGTTTACGACATGTTTAGAGCATGTTACAGACATCTGGCAGCTATTTGGCAACATGTGTTCTCTCCACTGACCGTCGTCCACAATTTGGGACGCCCGGAATGGGAACGGAAAAAATGGGTACAATGCCCAACTGCAAATGTTGTCCCAAACCGACAGCGGCCGCAGTTGGGCAGGCGGCCTTCTGTCTCGAATGGACACAGGCCGCGGCGGCGTGGACAGCGAGTCCTCTTCAAAATGAACAAGATCTGCTGTTGGGCATTGCACCCATTCTTTCCGTGCCCATGTCGGGCGTCCAAATCAGCGCCAATTCGGGTGTGCAGACCAGTCGATCGACGTGTGGCCCAGTCTTTCCGTGCCCAGTCTTTCCGTGCCCATTTCGGGCGTGCAGACCACTCGATCGACGTGTGGCGCTCGACCGGCGACGTCTTCGTTCCGCGGAGGCCCCTTGGCGGGAGGCTGACTGAGGACGTCCTCCCCGCCGCGGCCGGGCGCGCAGAGCTCGGGAGGGGGGCTCTCGGAGGCACACGGGGAGCACGGCATGCCCGTGAGTCGGGCATGTCCCTCTACGGGAGGAAATATTCAAAAATGATCCCCAAATAATCTGGGGGCGAATTTTCAATTATTTTCTGGCCATGTTTGAATATGTTTTGACTACCTTCTACTTGTCTTCAAACATCCACCTGTAGGAGGACATGCCCGACCTGAGCATGCCTCAGGCCAGGGGGGCCACAGAGGCCTCCCCAATGGGGGCCCGAGCAGCGGATGGGGTCGCATCGCCAGCGAACGAGGGCGCGGGACTCGTCAGGCCGCGTCCTGTCATGCCGGCGGCGAGCGAGCAGGGGACGGTTCGGGATCGAGGCTCGAGGTGTCCAGACGTTTTCGTCGGCTCTCAAAGGGCTCCAGACTCGGGATGCGTTCCAGTGGCTGCGCTTCGCCGAGGCCGTTCCAGGGTTGCCCGGATCGTCCCGAAGGGCCGCTGCAGACCCGAGTTACGACCCAAAAACCACATACGGCGGCGAGCGAGGGGGGCAAGGTGAGAAGGAGGAGGCCTTCTCAGAAGGCGGCGGGGCTTCTCAGAAGGCCTCCAGCCTTCTGCCTCAGGGACTCTGCATCTCCGGAGAAGCTATCGGGGACCTTCTGACCCGGGTCAATCCAGACCCGGGCCAGTCAGGCCTTGCAGGATCCCGCACGATCCTGCAAGATCCTGCACCCAAACCCGGGTCAACGCGAAGGATCCTGCAGATCCTGCAGGATCCTGCACCCACACACGGGTCCATGCGACCCTAGCCCTGCAGGATCCTGCACGATCGGGCGCTATGGCTGACCCCCGTTTGCATGGACCCCCGTCTCTTGAGCCCCGAGCTTGGGAACTTCTCAGACTTGCCGTCGCTCGGACGTCCATTTCCCGTGCACTGTTTGGTTTCATGCGTGTTTTTTTTGCTCGATGGTCCAGGATGGTCCTCGGTGGTTCTCGCCGGGAAAAAATGCACACGTCCGAGCGATGCCAAGCTTCTGAGAGGGCTCGCCCCGTCTCCCCTCTCATCGGGGCTCGCCGCCGATCGGAGGGTCGCGCCGATCTCCGATGCATCGCCGATGCATCGACGACGCCGGCGATGCAGCGGCGATGCACCGGCGCCGGCGGCGTGGAGAACATCGAACTCCATATCGCGCCGCATCGCCGATGGACCGGCGGCGCGGCGCAGTCCTCCGACCCCATTCGGTCGGACCCCATCTGGGAGGCCTGGAGGCCAGGCGGTTGCGCGGGCCGACTGCAGGCCATGCAGGGTCATGGATCTCGCTACACTTCCCCCAAAGCCATCATCAACAACAACACCGTCATTATCAGCATCAGTATCGTCATCATCATCAGCAGCAGCATGATCATCATCAGCATCATCATTATACTCACCGTAATCCACATCCTCACCCCATCATCATCACCATCATCACCACCATCATCATCGTCATAAACACAACCATGATCAGCAGCAGCATCATCACCATCATCATCAGCAGCAGCAGCATTATGATCATAATCAGCATCAGCATCATCACCATCATCCCCCCTCCTCCTCCTCCTCCTCCTCCTCCTCCTCCTCCTCCTCCTCCTCCTCCTCCTCCTCCTCCTCCTCCTCCTCCTCCTCCTCCTCCTCCTCCTCCTCCTCCTCCCCCATTCTCCTCCATCCCTCGATCCTCTCCCTCCTCCCTCCCTCCCTCCCTCCCTCCGATTCTCGATCGAACCCTCGATCCCTTGCTGACGGGGGCCCGTCCAGTCCTGGTGGTTGTCGGCGCCTCCTCCGATCGCCGCCGCCGCCTCCGACGCCGGCCCGCCGCCGCCGGCTCGGGCGCGGCAGGGGCTGGTCCGGCGGCGGGCTCGGGCGGCGTGCCTTCGCTGCGGCGGTTGTCGTCGTCGTCGTCATCGTCGTCGTCGTCGTTGTCGGCATCGTCGTTCTCGGCGTCGTCCTCCAATCCTCCTGCTCCTCCTCC